TACAAATCGGACACCCTGAAATTTTTTCTATGAGCTTCTTCATTAAATAAGAAGACCCATGTCTTGAAAAGAAATTTTGAAATTTTTTTCCTAGGAGATATGAGTCCATGTGGTTTTGAGTATTAGCATTGTAGACACATTTTTTAACGGCCATATCTCAACATTTAGTTTCTTACTAACCTGATGATCCTTATGCTGCCATCTCAGCGCTCATCAGGTATTTCACTTGAATTTGTTTATTTATGTGTTCAAACCCCTAGTTATCTACTAACTGGAGCTTTGAATTTGTTTATTTATGTGTTCAAACCTCTAGTTATCTACTAACTGGAGCTTTGTCACTGTCATGGCTCCATAACCATGAATTTCATGGTTTAACTCGTTGATAGGAACAGTATTCAAGTATGGCTATATTTGAATACGTGCTGGAAATGGAATTTAAAATAGTGAGCAGTTACTTAGATGTTGAATTTGAATTAGATTAATTGATATCATTTTATTTATGCAATTAAAATTAATACACCCACTGTTATGGAGTCCAGAAAAATTTATTGATATATTATTAAAGAGTAAGAATAAACCTAATCTTTTATATACATCAAGTTTGGTATCGTATAGCCAAATTATAAAGTACGCTAAAGCTTTTGAATATTTAATAATATATTTCTAGTTACATTTGTTAAAAGGGATTATGATTTATGATACTTATCAGATAATACTAGTTCCGATATTTAAAAAGAATAAAGAATTAATATTACAAAGATAAAATAATTATTTTTTGATATCAAAGGATAAGGAACATTTTACCATGCTCGGCATTTCAAATGATTTCGAAATTATTGATAATAGCTATCTGATAGTTAACGAATTAATGTCTGAGACAACTATTACAGTAGAAAATTACATTACATACCATAAAATATGGAGACATAGCTTAGGTTATGTTGAAGTGATGGTCTTGTATACCAAGGAAGACTTGGTACGCAAGATGTTGGTTTGTACATAGACTAGAAAGTCAGTATACTACCAAAGCTGAAAAAGGCAACGACTTTCCCATTAGATTAAGGTAAACCAACCTGACAATTCTATAAATCTGGCAAAGTCCTGAATATTGCAGGACAACAGCTCAGTCATATCCGTAATGAAGGGGTCCCCAAGATTTTTGATTTTTTTCTAGCTAAAGTTGGGCAATGACACATGAAATAAATCACAGTTTCCTCCACAGCCACGATAAAGGTCATTACAGGGAAGACCTAGCCTCATAAATGTCCTACAAACCTTATAAACGTATAAATTTATATGTTTGGTAAATGTAGTGTCAAATGAAATGTTGTATAAAAAATAGTTATTCCTGATGTTAATAGTGCTATTATACAGCAGATTGATAAACTTACACAAATATTTCACTAAGTGCGTTTATATAACCGTGTACGTAAACAGATAAAATTATACATATGATAAATTTATATGCTGAGATGAGTACATCTAATAATTCTAACAATAAATACAATTATAATTTATGTTAAAAACAAAACTTTAATTATTTTAATTAAATTAATTTATTTTATTGGTCTGAACGAATTGAGGTCAACGTTGAAGTTGACCAAGCTGGTCTGTTATGATATGTGATTTGTTTCTGGAAGTAAAGTCGATTACTGTCATTGATCTCCTGAGTGCAGTGAAGCTGACTTTTAAGCAGCACACAGCATTCTTTGTTTACTTGATGAACAACGTTATGCTTATGGTTTCACTTATGGAAAACAATTTAGATGCGACAAACACCACCACACTTATTTCAAGAATGCGAATCTCAGCATAATTGGCTTGGTTAGCTTTTGCTGGACACATTTAATTCAGTTTTAGTCAAGCCAACAAATAAAATTGTAAATTATGAAAAAAATTTTCATGATAATGACGAATTAAAACTAGTTTTTATATGATAATATAAATAAATGTGTAATTAATGATTATAATTCTCATATAGTTTGAAGAGAAATTTTTATATAATACAAACTGCTCAAATATATGTTTGAGTTTTTTTAATATATATAAAGCAACAATTGCTTAAAGATATGTTGTAAACCATTTTACACGAGCCTTATGATTGTATTAAATCATAAATATTATAAATTATAAATTTTATTAAACAATAATCGTTATTGATAAAGTACTATAAATTATATCTCCAAAAATGTTTATATGTGCATTGTTTGTGGCTTAAGTAACAGCTGCATTCAGATTGTGTTTGGTAATAACTCATACTATATGTTTAGTGAACATGGTACTCGGTAACACATAATAAATTAGCAAATACTAAGTTGTTGGTTTCGGTCTGAATAGCTATAATGCGAAGCACTAATAAGGTTGAGTTGAGAACATTTAAAATACGAGTATAATATACACATAGTACATCACATATTAATTTTGTGTCTTTATTTATTTGTTTTGAATACAGGGGTTATCCTTTCTATCAAGTTTGCAGTTCTTGATTATCCATTTATATCCTTTATATTTTTACGATTTCTATTATTCAATATAAAGAATAATAAAAACTATTGAAGTACTAGTTTTAGCACTACCAGATGGTCCAATGTACTATTAAAATTCTTGTGAAATTTACAAGAGTAATTAAGTTATTTTTGTAATTGCTCTTACATTTTCAAATTTAAATTACTTAAATTAAATTTGTAAATAATAATGATAAAAATAATTTAATAATAATAGAAATAATATATATAATAAAAATAAATGTAAATATATAAACAATTGTTCCTAAAAATAATTTCAAAATTTTGCTTTTCTGCTAAAACAAAATGGATCAACTTTGATATTTAGGTCGTGTGCGAGTTAGGCTAAGTTGATGCTAAACCAAATGGGAGATTTTTTGGGATTTTTTGCACTGCACACATTTAGCCGTTTATCAACACGTATCGACACATCACTACATTATCGGCTCATCTTAGAATTTCCCTTATTTAGAACGCAACTTAGCCTAACTCGCACACGTCCTTAATATAACTCCTTTCAATTATATATCTAGTTGTTCCATGTGCCTAGACTTCATTCTATTTCGTAGTTCTTTATAAGAATTTTTCATTTATTTAATTTAAATTAAGTAAATTTAAAAAAAAACCTCACAAAAAATTACATTTTGATAAGGCGGCAAAAGTTGAGTGAATAAATTAAGCATTTCCTGTTAATTAATTAACAAATTTCCTGTTAATTAATTAACAAGTTAATTTGTTAAAGTGTTAACGTTTGAAATATTATACAAAATATTTAGGAAAAATTTGAAACTTTAGTATGAGTATTTTAGCTATTAGGCCGTGTGCGAATTAGGCTAAGTATATGCTAAATTAAATGGGACATTTCTTGGGATTTTTTGCACTATATTACTATAGTAATATATTTTTGCACTATGGACGTGTGCGAGTTAGGCTAAGTTGATGCTAAACCAAATGGGAGATTTTTTGGGATTTTTTGCACTGCACACATTTAGCCATTTATCAACACGTATCGACACATCACTACATTATCGACACAACTTAGAATTTCCCTTATTTAGAACGCAACTTAGGTCGTGTGCGAGTTAGGCTAAGTTGCGTTCTAAATAAGGGAAATTCTAAATTGTGTCGATAATATAGTGATGTGTCGATACGTGTTGATAAATGTTTAAATGTGTGCAGTGCAAAAAATCCCAAGAAAAGCCCCATTTGGTTTAGCATCAACTTAGCCTAACTCGCACACGTCCATAGCCTAACTCGCACACGACCTTAGTATACTCTAAATTAAAATCGCGAGGAGGACTAGTATTAAAAGGAATTTTATTATGCAATTAATTTGATATTTCGATATAAGTTAATTTAGTAAGTTAATTCGATACTGCTTGACCACATAGCACTTTCCAGTCCAAAAAAATATATGAATAAGACTATAGTGTTAAGATTTATAAATGCATTTTAAAAATGAAGTTAAAATATACTTCAACTTAGAGGGTTTCGAATAACAAAGAAAGAAAGGAAAAACACAAAACAAATTTATTGAAATTTTAATTTAATTAAAAAAAAATAGCTTTTTGTCATTTTAAGAAAGCGTAGCTTTATCGGCAAAACTAATTAAATTTTAAAAATATACTTCAATAGTATATTTTGGTATAGATTTTGTATGAGAAATGAGACATTGCTGTACATTTCATGAGTTAGTACCGATCAGAGAATATTTGTACTAGTACTAGTACTTTGGTGTAGACATACTGTAAAATCCGCTAATATTTATCACATCAGTTTCGGAATCAACTTTGACACAGCATTTCCACTCTGTAGACGATATTGAGCGACATATATTATTTTTACCCGGTAGTTTTTTTATTAGCGTACCCTTTTCTATTATTTATTTATTGCATATAATAAATTGTTTCATTTTTATACATTTTGTTTAATTTAAGTACAAATATAATTTACATATCTAATTTATATTTATTAGTAAATCAAAACTTTTAAAATTTATTATAAGTCTGTCCATCCGAAGTCCTTACCGAAGTTAAAACTTGTTCACAAGAAGGTGAGATTTTTTGTCAAAGCTTACGAAATTTTAGCAAATATGTTAAAGCATATATTTCTTTAATAGTTACCATAATAGTTCCTTTAAGAGTCAGTAATAGTTAATTACTTAGGGTGTTCACGGGGCACCGGTTATCGGGTTATGTGTGTATGTGCTTATATGAGCAACAACAAAATGCACTGAATAAAAATAACCAACTTTGCACAACCCCTGCCTATGTATACAAATTATGTGGTTATGTGATTATTTGCAGTGTTGAAAAATAATATAAAATTTAAGCAAATGGCATTACAAAAAAGATTAATTTCACCAAATGGCACCACGAATTTTGAATTTCAAATTGGCATCACTAACATTTGAAACTAGTTTCGTTTGTAAACAAACATTTAAAACGTAAACAAACATTTTGCAAAAGTAAGTTGAAATGATCTATACTAAATAAAAATATACAAATGTCTTATTTATTTCCCATTTTCAGTGTCTAACGAAATGCGGAAACGTAAACGTGAAAATGAAGTAAAGAAATGGACGGAGCAAGAAATAAAAACAGTACTAAGCTATATGCAAGAGCACAGGAACATAGAGGTAATTTGTATTTTGATTTGTATTTTTGTTACTTTGGGTTATAACTTTTGTTTTTATAAATATATTTAATGATAGAAACCAACAGCCCAGCTATATTATAAAAAATTGTTGGCAGAAACAAACATCAATGCAAATTGGAACATATTAAAATGTAAAATTCGCCATCTGAAGAGTACTTTGCAAAAAGCAGACGCATGGATTAATTCAACAGGCGCTGGAGTTGAAGATGATGACAATACAATTACTGTAAAAGGTAAACTTTATAATCATTTTAGTGCAGACTTTTTACTACAATAGTTTTAAATTTTTTGTTTATGTGCAGACAAGGTGGTTAAAATATGTCCACATTACGAACAGCTTGTCGACATTTTTTCACCTTCAAAGGAAATTGAATTTGTTGTAATGGACACATCGAACGCATTGGACTGTACTCTTGATGCAATTGATTTGGAAGAAGATAGTGTTATATTGGATGGTGAACTATCAGCATCATCAGAAACTATCTCCTTTGAAAACAAGGTTAAGCGTACAGCACGTCCTACTTGCATTGATAAGCTTAAAGATATGGAGAGTGACCGGGTCAAATTTCGGAAAGAGCAATTAAGCTTAGAAATTGAAAAATTCGAGTGGACAAAAGAAATGGAAAAACAAAAATTAGAATTGGAAAGGCAGAAAGTTGAGAATGAGTTCAAACTCAAGAAATTAGAGTTAGAACAAAAAGAAAGAATTAAAAAATATAAAGTTGATGTGAAATATAAAAATAAATAATAAAACAGACTTATTAAAAAAATTTAAAAATGTGTACTTTTATTCAAACATCATATTATACAGTGTTTGTCTTTTTAGCTCAGGTGTAGGTGCAGCAATAGTATTGCTATCATACTGCGTTTCACACCATTCGCTATTCTCACTTTCAAATTGTGAAAAATTGCGGTCTTCCAACAAAATATTATGCAACACACAACAAACGAGAATCCAAGAATTGAAAAATTTTTGGCTTTTTTTGTCTTTTATTTTAATTCTCATTTGTTTTAAACTGCAAAACTTTTCTTTAAGGATTCCGAAACAATTTTCAACTCTAACGCGGTATTGGCTGTGTCTTTTATTGAATTTGTTTTGTTGTTCAATATTCATTAAAGAAGAATTGGTGCGATATGGCGTTATCAAATGTTTAGTCAACTGGTACGCAGAGTCGCCTGCAATCCATTCTTCTCCAGTAAATAAGCACGCGCTGTTTGTTGCAATATGCGATTTCTTAAATATTTTAGAATCATGGTAGCTTCCCGGATTACACACTAATGCGTGCATGACGCGGAGCTTATGATCACATACAACTTGCAATTTAATAGAATATATTCGTTGACGAGAAAAATATGCCTCATGGTTATTGCTAGGTTTTTCGGCCAGCTTTATCTCACTTCCATCAATATAACCAATACAGAATGGTAACTCACTGAACGTATTAGCAATAAGTTGCCTACGCTCAGTCGCACTAGGCCATTGAATGTATACCGGTAATTTCTTCAAAAGTGCTGAAAATACTCTCTGGGTAATTTTAGTCAGAGTGCCACTATCTCCCACTCCAAAAATTGTCGCGATTTTTCGCACTGATGCACTTTCTCCTGAAGAGCCTAAACGGAATAGTACTATCGCGAGTTGTAAATCCACGGGCAGTTGCAAATTGGATCCTGGACCTTTGAATATTATATCATTTGCAAATATTTCAACAAGACGAGCAAATTGAATCTTGTTAACACGTAACATTTGCAAAAATCGTCCTTCGTCGAAACAACATAAAATATTATCTCGCCAATGAATGGATTTTGGCACACTTAGTTCATCCCCTCGTCGATAAGATATGATTGTTCTTACATCCTCCAGTAGTTCATCCAATCTTTCATCAATGAGAGCGTGCCATTGATCGAAGTGTGCTGTGTCTATAAATGGAAAAACTTTGATTTTTGCAACTATTAAGCTTTAAAAAACATACCTTCGATAAATTCAAGATCTTTAATAGCTGCATTTATTTTTAAGTCTATAATTTGATTTTTTATACTCTTTTTAGGCATTTTGTGTTGATTTTGAAATTTAAATTTCTTTGTACTAACGACAAAAACAAAGAACAGCTGATTGTATAAAAATAACCAGATAACCTACATAAAAGTCTGTTCACGGTGCACACAGGTTATTTTTCATTTTATCATCACATAACCCGATAACCAGTGCCCCGTGAACACCCTAACTGAATGTATTTCTTCCAACAACTTGTCATGTGGTCAAAATCTATTTCCTTAAAGAATATTTAATTTTTTTACCTTTAACGTCTATTTTTTTTAGCCCGGTAACATTTCTCGATGAGTTTTTCTATGTAAATATATTTAGGAGAATTATAGGTCAATATGTGTTAGGAATATATACAATTAAAAGTTGTCCTATCCGATAATGACTTTTGTCGTGGTGCTGCAGAAGAGAAGGAAACCTTGTATGTCAGGGTTTAACTTTAGCTATTAAAATGCTAAAAATCTTCACGTGCTCCTTTTAACCGACTTGTCAGAGCTAAAATCTTTTAAAATTGCGGAAATAGTCAAGTTTTTAAACTTATCAGATTGGTTAAATATTACTTAGGTAAATAGGTGGTAACACCTTTTTTTCAGTGCTGTTCGTGGTCGCATTACTTCCGTAATTATAACTTTTTCGGTAATCCGTCTGGTCTAATATATGAAGGACGTTTATACTTGATGACACAACAAACTATTGTTTGTGCTTCAATAAACACTTATTCTAAACTAATACATGGGTTTGCTAAATCTTCTTATTTTTATTTCAATTTTCATAATTTGTATATTGTTTTATTTAGTTGGGGCATTAATCTGTAGAAAAAACCGTCTCCGATGAAGCGCTGGTAGGCCACTAAAGCCCTACAAAATAGATTTTAATTTTCAGTAAAGAGATTCCAATTTATTTCAAGTCTTATGGTGATCATCAGTTGTGATATCATTTCGAATGAGCCTTCATAGCAGATTGATGAACAATTACATTGGTTCGGAAAAAGAAACTTACCCTAACACCAAAATGAATTTATACTTAAAACAAAAATTCGACTTATGGAATGCACATTCATTTATGGAGAAATTCGAGTTATAGAAGTTCGAATTACGGAAGCAGAATTGTATGTAATTTGTTCTCTAAAACTCTATTGCACTCTTTTTAGTTCGAGTTATGGAAGTTTAACTGTATTTATATATTATCTGCATATATAGAGAATAGCAAAATTCGATTTCTCCAAACGTTAAACGATAATTATTTTTCATTTTAATTTTATTATTATTATTCATGCAGCTTCCTCACTTGCACTAACAAAAATCTTTTATTCTATGCAATCTTATTGATATAATTCCAAGGTCTAGAGATTTCTTAAGAAGTAGTTGTATTTTGACATTATATTAACAATATGTTTTTATATAAATATTTTCAACACTTAAATACTAAGCTTATATGTTAATAAAAAATAGCAAAAACATTAGAAAAAGCGTAGCTCATCCTTCGTTTTGCGTGAATTGAGTTCAACAGATAATTTTTTGTTTTCTTGTCGCAAAGCGTCCAGTTCCCGGGTTTTTGCATTGAATTGAGGCTCTAAACGCTTAAGAACTTCACTATTTGTTTTATTTCTAGACATCATTTCTTTAAGTTTAGCTAGCTCACTTTCTTTTTTGCGTATATTATCCGAGTTAATTACGCTTTCCACGTTAAGTGCCTTTGTAGTTTGATTGGAAAGTTTTGACTTTTTATCATTTGATTTTGTACTTTTTTTGTCAGTAGCATTATCTTGACTAATTCCAGCTAATATATTATCATTTAGAAAGTTAAAAACATCTACGCGCTGCTTTTCGCGTTCATAAGCTTTCAGGTTAAGTGCTTCTTGTTTTTTTTGTTCACGCAGTAATTTTTTTTCCACTTGAAAGAAACTTTCATTTCCATTGTTAGCCTCACGTAAATTCATACAATAATCTAGTGAACAGCCTTTAGGCAGTACTTGAGCAGAAATCGGTACCACAATTCCACCACCATCCGAGCCAAGACCTGTACCAATAACATAACCCATTTTTTCCATTAACTTAGAACCAATGCCCTGTAAGGTAATACACATTATATATATGCCAACAAGTAAATTAATAAATATAAAATATTACCCGCGTATGCTTTTCCCACTCCCCTAAACGCTGTGTGGGCGACAATGTAAATAAACTACGTTCTATTAAGCTGGCTTGTCGTGCTTTCTCTAATTCGTCTAGCTCAGTGCTGTCTGTGTCACTTTCAGATTCGCTGCTAGAGATTTCTGTATCTATTTTGCAAAAAAAAAAAAATTATTAATAAAAAGTTCATAGAAGTAAAGTAAGTTTATGACATTACTCGCCTTGATAAATGGGTAATAAATCTTCAAATTTAAAATCATTTTCCCGCTGCTTATTTGCATTTCCATCCAAACGCACACGACATTCTTTTTCAACGAAATTTACACATAACACTCGTCCCTTATGCCATAGTCCATTATCTAATTTTGCCAACACGTAACAATTACGTGCCAAAGTGTCAAATTTTGGTTCGGCATATTCGCGAATTGCAGTAGCCGACACAAGTTCACCATGTGAAAAATGACATTGTGCATCATCGAATTTACAATGTCCTTCAAGAAAGAAGCGGCACGGTAACATTTCTCGATGAGTTGGATTTGTAAACAGTACGCGTAATTGCATGTCCAATTTGCCAGTTGCAGATATCTCCATAGCATCCTCAACACCACAAATAATAGCATTGTGGTAGCTTGTTGCACCCCAATTATGTTCATGTGGTGCTGAGCATTTTTCTCCAACCATACCTTCCAATTTTGTCTAAAATTATTAACAATTTTTTATAGTGCAAAAATTGGAGTTAGTATAAGCTTACTTTAAGCTCCTGGAATTTTAGTTGTACAATTTCATCATTGACGTCAAATTGAACTTCGTTGGCAATGTTCTCTTCACTTTCTTCACTATTAGCTGCGTTTGATTGGCTTGTTTCACTGGAATCTTTTATATCCTTGTCATTATTTAAACTATCAATTTCAGTTAGAAATTGTTTCAACTCATTTTCCATATTCGTATCCGCACATTCCGTCGCCGGTTGTTGTTTTACTTCCTCTGATTTTGTCTCAAACTCCTCCGTTAGCGCAATAAGTTCCAGTATGTCTTTCTTCAGAGATTCTAATTGTTCGCGATCAGCTTGATTGGTAACAACGTCTAAAGCGTCATTGACGGCTTTTAACTAAAATAAAATAAATTTAAATTGGGTTCTCTTACTAAGTAGCATAGGCTTTCATTTTTGTGTTACAATAACATACGTCGAAATACTAATTTGAATAAGAAACTTGATTATATTTAATGTTACCTGCTCTTTATAACTTTCCATTTTAAACTACAAGCTAAGGGAAGAAAGAAAAATTAAAAAACGCATTTCTTCGCTAATGCAAATCAGACCAAAGGAAGTTTTCCAGGAAGTTTTGTTTATACTGCAACAGCGAATTACTACGATTCACTAGAGGTAGCGTTTTCTTAATGTACAATACACACACATCCAAATAATTTGACAGCTGTCAAACATTAGCTGGAGTACCCACGAAAAATTCACAACACTATCACAAAAAAACCGGCATATGAAATAAAAACAGCTGTTTTCATAAACACATTTTCTGGTTGTGTTGCATAAATAAATATTAAAAAGTTGAAATTAAATGATGAATACAAAATTTAGCAGAAGTGCTAGAAATTTAACACTACATTCTGGTTTTATAGTTCAGCAATTGTTAAAACGTGGTACATCTAAAATTGCTGTGGAAATTAACCCAGAGCTAGCTAGAAAATTGGAAAACGATGAATTGAAACCGCGTAAACATCCTGGCATTGTACGAAAACAACACATCGTATTACCACCGCATATTAATACTGCTCTCCAACGTATTATTGGCGATATACCCGTGAAGAGTATTCTCAAAGATGGTAAACAATTAAATAAATATTTGGCAGCGCGTCATCCGCCACTTGAAAAGGGTGAAATGCGTAAAAAAATACGTGACATAAAAAGGGAATATAATGAAAAGTTTCCTTTGCCAGAAAACTTTGAAGAATTGAAGGAGGAAGAAAAGCAACGTTTACTGCAAAAAAGACAAAATGCCGTAGGTAAGAAATTTGCGGAGTGTACTTATGCTTGGAAGCCAACAATTTATACTGGATATGAGGCTATTGTATATGCGATCACACGTGGTGCACATGAGTATAGTGTGCTGCTGTCCATATTGCATGAGTTACAATCACGAGACATTAAATTTCAGCCACATAGCTATTTTGATTTCGGTTCTGGTATTGGTACAGGCATGTGGGCTGCAAGCACTCTTTGGGAAGATGCCATATTTGAATATTTCAATGTAGATAGTTCAAGAGATATGAATGACTTATCGGAACTTATATTGCAAGAAGGTCGAGACAATCAACAAAAAATATTACGAAATGTCTATTACAGACAATTTTTACCTAGTCTTGATGTAAGTAGTCGTATCTAATATAAATTTATTGAACTTTTAGAAAGGCATAATATATTTTAAATAATTTTTCCTATAGACTAAATATGATTTAGTAGTATCATCCTATTCATTGTTTGAATTGCCAAATGCGCAGCAACGTAGAGAAGTGGTAAAGAATCTTTGGGAGAAATGTTCTGGCTATTTAATAATAGTAGAGGAAGGCACTAGACGCGGAAGTGAACTTGTAAATGAAGCGCGAGATCTTCTTTTAACATTAGGAGATGATAATAATAAATGTCATGTACTGGCACCGGTAAGTAAGAATTTCAAGTTATTTAGCAATAATTACATTTCAGCTCTTATAAAACGTTTACCATTTTTTAACAAATAAGTCATTGACAATTACAAAAATGTAATTGTGCTTCAAGCCTCAGTTAGTCGGTAGGTACCATAAGAACTCAAGTCAAAGCGAAATGCACAACCAACTACAGTGAATTGTTTAGGAGTTATAGTGGATTGTTGATGGATGGGAAGTGTTTCTCTTAATCGTATACAGTTGCTAGTCACTAGATAATATTTTTTATACGAAGCACATGATTATAAATGGAAAGTCCTTTTATGTTAATTCCGTTTCAGTGGTCCAGTGGTCGATATCCGCTTAGAGTGTTTTCACTGTATTTTAATTGTTTTTCAGTCTTAAAAATTAATACATACTTCAACATATTAAAGATGCTTTTACTCGTTTTATTTTTTCTTTTCATTATTATTATATTTGTTGTTGTGGTAACTCATCTATATAGATCTATGGTATATAGTAGATAACATGAAAGGAGTTACAAAAATGCTAGAGTTAGGATAATGTTGCGTGAAGGAAGTATAAAAGGAGAGGGGATTAAAGATGGGTGGGACTTTAATTAAAACTAACCTGGGTCAAGACGGTGAAACCCAGCCACTTTTTTTTCGCTGTGATGCATTACTGTTCGCTTAAGGAAAGTTTTATTTTAGCATTCATGTTTCAGTTGTAATTAGTCCTGTACTTAAAAATTCATTTTGGTTCCGATTCGAATAAAATTTATTGGTTCAACTTAATATATCAAATATCTGTTTCTTAATTTCATGTATATGTGAATCTGATCTATTTTTTCGGTTCGTATTTTTTTTTCCGCTTTGCGGTTCAGTTCAAGTTCCTTTATGACGCCCTCATTTATATATTTAACGAAATTCATATTCTTTACTAGCCTCTTATATTTCAATCATTTTTAATCAATTTAATTTTTTTTCAGTGTCCTCATGATTTACCTTGCCCGCGTTTAAATAATTTAACGGATCGTACACCGTGCAATTTTGAAGCCGCCTATAAACCTTTGCATATTGGTGAAGTTAAATCAGAAAGGCAAATTGCTCGTTATAGTTATGTTATCATGAAAAAAGGAGAATTGCAAGATGAGACTCGTGATTGGCCACGTTTGGTAAGACCAACAATACAACGTTCCAAACATGTTATATGCAGAATGTGTACAGCTGATGCTAACCTCCAAGAAATCATATTTACAAAATCTAAACATGGCAGGTGAGTTTATCATAAATTAAAAAGCGAAATTTTTAAATAAATAATCTAATTCTGTTTTTTTAAGTTCTGTCTACCAGTGTGCCAAAGTAACAGATTGGGGCCATAGGCTGCCTATATCAATAGGAGAGAAATTTGATACAGAAACAAAACACACAAAATTTCTAAAGCAAAAAGCCGAAATACAAAAACTAAATCAATCAGAAACTGAAAATGTTAGAGAAGTTTGAAAAAAATAATATCTTTATTGTTGTTAAAATTTTATTTAGCATTAAGTTGGTATTAGTTAATGCAGTCCGTGTGCATTAATATTAAATATATGTATATATGTTAATTTTTTTTAACATGAAAAAATATATTTTCCTGTTTTTTAATATATTATATTACATTAGATTATAATATCCGATATCAGTAGACATACAAATATTTAATAACTTCAAATAGTTAAATATATATTTGTGAATGGTATTTTATTCACCTACAATTTAGTTTGTAATTAGAAATTATAAGATAAAACTCTGAACCAAATCAACTAAGGCTCAGTATAGGTTCAGTATATTTATAACAATAAATTAATAATCATTTTTGAAGTACTTAATCTATGTTTAGATCGTGAGTGTGCTCATATGAATATATTTTAATTGGTTAAAATAATTTTATAGAAGATTATAGTTAAAATTTCGGAAATCGTTAGCATATAGAAATATGACCGAAATTCCTATTTCCTAGGAAATATTACTATTAATATATTCTTAAATATATTAATTCTTATATAATATTCCTATTAATATATAAATTATTAAAGTACACTACGACTGACTACATCCAATTACAATGGATATGGAGTAAAACAAGACTGTATAGTTTCGCTATACTCAAAAGTGTTGAGCAAAGAAACACTTCGAAGATATTGAATATATTAAAAATATGTATATGATTAATGTCACTGACATCCATAATATTAACAACGACATTAATTTTTAAAAAACGTAAGTGAAAGGCTCGTAGCTAGAAATGCACTTTTGGAGCGGGGCTTTCGAATAAAATACTGATTCGACTATACTTTTGTTTACCATTAAATAATGTAATGATGAAGAGCTATAAATGTAGATATAGTCCATCAATTACTTTCGGAACTGTAAGTGATAAGAGCTTCAGCCCCTCCGCCCCGCATAGCTACGTGACTGGTAAGTATTAAAAATATATACATCAAATTTAGAAAGTTTTATGATCAACAAATATCTGATCTAACCCCAAAAGACGATAATATTCAAACCCCACGTAGAACAAAAAAACACTACACAATAGTTTGCGGCTCTCCTATAGGTCGCTACAATTGTTTGTAGATTTATATGAGCTTTACGTATCGAAAGCGCACAGTTTATTCTTATTTACTAGCCACCACTGTATTCCATTGGCAATCGTCAAAAATTGAAAACTATTGATAGTGCTACCAATAGCTTGTCAGTAACATCATATGGATTTCAACAGTTGTTTGTTTAGCATATTAAAAATATAAAGGTCCAACATAACTTATATTGAAATCAGTCGATATCAACAGAACAGTGGCGGAGCTAGACCAACTCTGCACGTCGGCGACACAGAATTGCGAGGCCCCCTTTATAACCCAGTTGTAAACTTTCAAGTTACATTGTTGAAAGTTTTATTGCTAATCAAATTAAAATAAATGAATTTTCCTACTTTTAGCCTCACTCAATTTTTTTTTTAAATTAAATCATAATTTGCTCCACCTGCTATTTTTGCTTCAGTTTATAGAATTTCCAATGGAGATAGTCTCTCTTGGATCTTCATACTTTTCTGGTACGTCTTAATCACGTCTTTTAACTTTGAGTAGCTTGTTTCCGTCGAAGCTATACTGACTGGAACTGTGAACGTGAATCTGGTTACTATATAAACATTCGGGAATACTTCAAATATGGTTAATGCCACTATCAAACCACATTGTTCAAAATATTTATTAAGTGCTTAGAATCCACAGTCGATAACTTTTTGCGAGGCCCCTGCGGGCGCGAGGCCGTCGGCGGTCGCCGACATCGCTGACGCCTAGCGACGCCACTGCAACAGAATTTAGAACTATTAAAAGGAAATGGATCAGATTACGCTATGCAAGAACCCAAGCGAAATATAAGAATATGTTTTGACCTGGAGCTCTAAAGTTGCATACCACAGGGAGAAATGAAAGAACCCAGAAACTATTGGAGTGAATTTAATTTACTGAATATATATGTTTTGTGGAGATCCTTTAGTCAAACGGGAGCTAAATGAACATCATCACTATCAAAACAAAGTTATGGTAGATGGTAAATAATATTGGTTTAAGCTAATTGTAATACCATAGAAATAAAAAAAAAATTTATTATTGATTCATCGTAGTAAACCATATACATTTTGAAGTCTAATATAAAATAATATCAAAACATATTCAAAATCAAAAAGTTGTTTCGAGTTTCAAAAATTTTCTCTAAATAAATTTCGCAGGACCTATTGGTTTATGTCAAAATTCTAGTGTTAAATATATTTTTTAAAAATGTTAAGTCCGTTGCTAATATTAATAATATTACTTCACTTGAACTATCCTCTCTTGACCTACGATGGTGGTATGTATATACGAGTATGATGCTTAATGTCTTATCATATATTAAAATTTCCTACTTACAATTGGTTTATTTTATAATTATATTTACTTTTAATTTTTATTTTTCTACCTTTCAGGTTTGACGGTTGGAAGAAACCACACAATGACTTACACAGAATTTTATATTAGGCACAATTTTGCTATATTCTCTTTGGTGTTTGTTATAATATATGTTTTAAAGCATATTGCGGGGGTAATTAGTGTATCTTTATAGAGTTTAGATATATTATATGTATATATTATGTATTTTAATTGTATGTTTGTAGCTAAGACATGGTATACCGTTTCTGCTGGTACTACCTCGGTACCTTATCCTATTGGTCCAGTGGTTGATAAGAAGTTGGCGGTTTATTGTTCGTGTATCGAGGCGGCGATTTATAGCAGAAGAATTGCAAGGACATCAACACCCTGTAGCACATAGAGTAGAGAGGGGAGGCGGGGATGCGGATGTGTTGCTTTTCATGAATAACAACAATAACAATAACAATAATAATGACGATAATGGATTTCAAGTAATTTTAATTTTTTATATAACTAGAAAGTCTATATTATGGTTTCCAATTTTATCTTTCTTTTTCCAATCTCCAGTTCCGATAAAATTTTTTACAGTATATTAGAACAAACAAATTAATTAGACTTTTTAGTGTCTAAAGTGAAATTAGAAATATTTAAAATAATCTCTAAGAATAAACTATTGAAATATTTAATAAGTTATAAAATGTTACTGGAGGCGAACGAGATTATATTTTTTTATTTGCTATTTTTTTTTAGTTCTGGAATTTAGTTCGTCAGCATTAAATCATCCCAATAATATTTCATCCAATCTCAAAACTATACACTAGAAAAGCTCAATTACCAAGCTTTATGTAAATAGTTGGTTGTCGTCATTATAAAATCATCATCAGTAAAGGGGATAAATGGATAATAATCAGTAGCGAAATATAATCTACATACCAAACTTTGTAGTGTTGACAAATCACATTAACAATCAATCAGTAAGCAGAGATATTTTCTATTAAATACAACATATCATCGATTAACGCGGATACATTCCTCTTTCATGGTGAACGGATAGGAAATAGGAATGGATAGAAATCAGCAACGAAATTTATTTTGGAAAAAAATAGAAGCAGCGTAATGATTTACCTAAACGTCTTCCTTTATGACAGTAATCCAAATATGTCAGAATATCTCTATCTAAAGACCTTCTCCATAACAAATTAAAGTAGCGCAACGATCAGGATAACTATGTTCCCAAATACTGGTAATAAAATGAATAGAAAATGTTGGTGGTCAACTACCAAAAAAAACTCCCTTTATAAATAGTCTGGAATAATGACTATGTTATATGTGGTAACACATAGACGCGTGAGTGATGATTGATCATTAAAGTTCTTCACATAACTATCCAAAACATATAAAAAAAGCGTAGTGATTAACATTTCATCTTTTACCTAAAGAACTGTCCCAAGTAACAGGTATATTTTGTGATGTACAATCAAAAACTTTTTACTGATGACATAACACTGAAGCTTTCCTCAATGTTAGTGCTAAACCTAATAGAAAATGATGGTGACAACCAACCAAAGAAATTCTCTATAACAACACCTTGGAGTGATGAGTATACAGACCTTTCTATATGAGGATGAACACACATAGAGGTAGGAATAATGATTGACCATAACATAAAAGCAAATAAAAGCATTGCAGTGAACAATCTTTTAACTTTTACCTATAGAAATGTTCCAACTAACAGCTATGATTTATAATATATTATAACAAATATTTTACTGATAACATAACCCTGAAGCTTTCCTCAATGTTAGTGCTAAGACTAATAAAAAATGATGGTGACGACCAACCAAAGAAATTCTCTATAACAAAACCTTGGAGTGATGAGTACACAGAGTTTTCTATATGATGATGAACACACATAGAGGTAGGAATAATGATTGACCATAACATAAAAGCAAATAAAAAATTGCAGTGACCAATCTTTTAATTTTTACCTATAGAAATGTTCCAACTAACAGCTATGATTTATAATATATTATAACAAATATTTTACTGATAACATAACCCTGAAGCTTTCCTCAATGTTAGTGCTAAGACTAATAAAAAATGATGGTGACGACCAACCAAAGAAATTCTCTATAACAAAACCTTGGAGTGATGAGTACACAGAGTTTTCTATATGATGATGAACCCACATAGAGGTAGGAATAATGATTGACCATAACATAAAAGCAAATAAAAAATTGCAGTGACCAATCTTTTAATTTTTACCTATAGAAATGTTCCAACTAACAGCTATGATTTATCATATATTATAACAAATATTTTACTGATGACATAACCCTGAAGCCTTCCTTAATGTTAATGCTAAGACTAATAGAAAATGATGGTGACGACCAAGTAAAGAAATTTTCTATAACAACACCTTGGAGTGATGAGTACACAGATTATTCTATATGATGATGAACCCACATAGAGGTAGGAATAATGATTGATCATAACATAAAAGCAAATAAAAAATTGCAGTGACCAATCTTTTAATTTTTACCTATAGAAATATTCCAACTAACAGCTATGATTTATAATATGTTATAACAAATGTTTTACTGATGACATAACCCTGGAGCTTTCCTCAATGTTAGTGCTAAGACTAATAAAAAATGATGGTGACGACCAACCAAAGAAATTCTCTATAACAACAGCATGGATTGATTTTTCTTATGATGAAAATGATAACTTAAAGAGTCGAGTGATGATAATTAGTAATTGAAGTTTTTCCCAAAGCTTTCCAAAAAAGAGAAATGAAATGACAACAGCTCAGTGAGCAACCATTCAATTTTTCTATGAAGAAATGATAACACTAAGAGGTATGAATGGTGATTTACAATTAAAAATATTTTGTAGTACAAACTGAAACATTATAGGTATAAATCCTCAAGCTTTTCTCCATGATTGTGGTTAAAGAAATTACATGGCAATCAGTATAGAAGATTTTCTATATGGGAAGGCAATATTGTGAGAATCCTTTCGGCCTTCCTATAAAAAAAGGATAGAAAACAGTAACCAAAAAAATATTAAGATTACATGGCAATCAGTATAGAAGATAGAAGATTTTCTATATGGGAAGGCAATATTGTGAGAATCCTTTCGGCCTTCCTATAAAAAAAGGATAGAAAACAAGTATGAATGCTGATGTACAACCAACGACATTTTCCAGTTCAAATTCAGATAGTGCAGCCAGTAACAAAGGTTCATTTTCTTGAAAAATGATGCCCTTATTCTAAGCCAACCTTTATATCAACTTCCTCTATGCTTTAAGTATATATTGGAATTAATTGTGATAACAAGTGAAGAACGGAACAGTAATTATTTTTAAAATTGTTTAATACGTAATAAACCTGAACCTCATCCTGATGTTGGCTATGTTTAACTAACACATCTGCTGCGATTGTTTAAGTCTATCTGCATGCGAATAAAGAAATTTATTTAAAGGGATATAAGTATTTTAATTTAACTGGAAAAAACAAACAATTTATTTAATATTTTCTGATGAATAATTTGTATAGTTTATATTTGGTATGCATCAATTAATTATGCATACCTTTGATTGACAAAGGTTGACCATTGTCGTTTTCGACAGAACTTAATATAGTTAAAGTAAAGAAAATAGTGTCTGAAAATCGTCATTAAAGTTTTGCGAAAGGCAACTGCTAAAATTTCTGTACATCAGGAATCAATTTCTACTATTATAAACGATTTTTTGTGATTGAAATGCGTTGACGCTGGACAAGTGTCGAAAGAATTTGCTCCACAAGAAACGCATCATCTCACAAGGCTATAAATTCTGACTAAAAATTCAGCAAATCTTCTTGAACAACCTCTTTGCTCCTTTGATATGGTTTTGTTCGACTGTTTTCGTTTTTCGAAAAATTAATTATACTTTGAAGCTCCCGTCTTGAGTCGATTGATGACATAAAAAAGAATTTGCAAAAATGAGTAACATGTATATATATAATTTGATCTCCTAGATGAAAATAAGCCTGTGTTATCAATATAAATCTAACTATGTTGTGAGAGTAGATAACAATGCCATTTTTTGCATAATCTGATTTGTTATATCGCGTTTAAATCTTTCACAAGACGGTGTACCGGAATCTCTTCAACCTTGAGGGTATCAACTAAGTGTTTATCAAAATATTCGAAAATTAGATAATATGATAGCACATTCCATCTAAAACATATGTCTACATGTCTGACGGACTTTCGTTAGGCTCTTTAAACAGTTGAAACACCCAAAAAGAGGACTTAAGGTAGCTTTAAGTGCACAATCTTTTTTTGTCGAGTGGTATTCAAGCACATCATATATGTTAAACTAAAGTCCTGAAATATGAATGATATATAAATATATACATATGTATATTTACTAAAACTACGTTTTTATTTCCAATCAAAACATTGAAAAATTGTCCTTCACAGTACCATAACCTTCTCAGATTTAAATGAAATTCGATTCTTACGGCAATATGTTTTCAGATAGCTCTTGGTTTGTTTGTAATTTTTTTTTTTTAACTATAAAAATATGAATGATCTTGCAGTTAACACAATTATGACAACATTCTACAGGTATTTAAAAATAAACAAATATATTATTATTTAAATATATTTTCTCAAAGTTAGAAGGGTTCAAATAGAAAAGAAAAGACAAAAACAAATATTTAGTTATTTTATTGAACTTTGGCTGACCAGACAACGCTGTTTCAATTATTACCAAATACTCAATAACAGTAGTCTTAGGAAATATTTGAATTTTTTAAATTAGTTTAAAGTCCATATATAATTTGTTTGGACTGCAAGTGCCATGCTTAGAACTCATCCCTGCCAAATTAGAAACGACGACTAATCATGTTTTTCCACAAGTAGCCAACATAAACTTTCATTGCTCAAGTTCCAAGGTTTTTGTCACTTTTTTTAATTTTTTTTTTAATTTTACTGATCCTTATAAACACAATGGTCTATGTGGGTCTATAGAATGGCAGCTATAAGCTAGAATATTGTGATAATATCATCCTCAATAAAGTTTTTATTTTTTATTGTTCTAAAAATTCTTATTTTATTTATTAAATTATTTTACTTTTTTTTTATATTCCCTTATATTCCTTTATACCTTTCTTCTGATCATCCTTATTTTATATTGGATACCATTTAATAAATAAAAAATTGTTCATAAACATACTAAAGGATGTTTACTTCTTTCGATTTTTACTTCTCAAATAAGATGTCTATGGTTGCGGTAGGCATATTGCAGGCCTTATAGAGTCTATTGTTTTATTTTATAAATGGACTTCACTATGCAAAACTGTATATAGTATGTTCTTGAGTAATATGATAATTGTCTATTAGTTAGTTTTCTAAATGAACTCACTTGAAGTGAGTTTCAAATACTAAAAATGTTTAGTTTACTTCTTTAATTGACGAACGCCGTGGATGCATTCTTAAAATATATTATGGAATTATATATAAGGGTTATAAATAAAAAAAGTATAAAACATATAAAAGAATTGCTTGTATGAAAATAGTTTGAAAAGTTTAAATTAATGTATAAAATGATTTCCGATTATCAATAAGTTCCGTCTGTCTGTCCGGTCAAGTTTTTTCTGGTCAAGTTCTTTCTATCTTATGAATACTTAAATAATTTTATTGTGAGCTATTGTGCTTTATAAGCACTACTCCATCGCCTATAATATTCAAATTTAGTAGGAAGACAAGAATATATCTAGGGTTTCAATAATATATTAAAATTAATTAATACTTTGCTATTAATAGGTAAAAAAGACATGATATATAAAATAATCATCTAATAATAATAGAAATAATATAATATTATAGTTATGTTAATAATAATAATAATAATAATAAAATAATAATATATAAAATAAAAAATAAAAGCCCAGAAAAGTTAATTGAAGTTTATAAACATAGGGTATATTTTGTAATCGGTATTTACATACATATATACAATTTAATAGTTTTATAATAAGTAATATAATATATTAATATATTACAATAAAGTATATAAGATCTATATGTAGATATGTACATACATACTATAAATATAGTATTTAAAACCCAACTTCATTGTCCAATTTAAATATGTATGTATGTATTTCGATAGACGTCTGAAGCCATGCCATACGTTTCTTGTCCAATTTTTATTCTTTAATGCAAAAAAAACATAATAGGTAGTTGAGTTTTAAAATATTGAACCAACTATATGCTATTTACAATGTCACATTTTAGCATATTGAATACAACAATAGGTCTTATAGACACAATTAGTAAAATCAGCAATGAACTTATTTGCTCTGTTTTTTCTATGTCCTAACACTCGTGAATTATATCCTAACAAAAGTCGGGATTTTGATAGAAAACCTTTCCGTAATTGTATCAACTATAAATATAGACCTCAGGGTAACCAACAGCTTTAATCTTTCATTTATAACATCTCTAAAGTAATTAACATTAGTGAATACTAATTATCTTTGGAGCGAAGATACATATTTAACAAGATATCAGGAGTGATTTCTCGATATTTTACAAGTTGAAACTCTTCACTTAGATTTTCTTCAAGTTTTAAGGCAAAGAAGCTTTCAATTCCCCACACTATTTATCAAAGATGCTACCCTTACATTGGTAAGAATGAGCATTAATGAATTTGGTAATTGTGTTTCCTAATACATTAAGTAAGGTTACTGTGGTAATTAGTCCGATTGTTTTAAAGAGTGCTTTTTTTTTTTTAAAGATATGAATTTACAAGATACTGGCTTTGCTTCCTACTAGCGCTCGAAAGTCACAAAATAAATGTTCCTCTCTTCCTCTTCATTTTTTTTTGTGCTGTATGCTTTTCACATCGAAAGTCACAGTGTCAGTCTTGAATCCACTAAAACCACCTCTTAGGAATGCATGGAAAAGATTTCTACAGCATTGAGGAAACTTCATGCCAGTAATAAGGGGAGAGAGATGTGAACATATAAGCTTAATAATACTTTTCCTCTTTACAACTCCTATAATGTTTATAAGAGGGAACTCTTAACTCTTGACTGGTGATACAACCCACGACTACACAGATGCGTTTGTTTGGTAGGTTGAATAAATTTAGTACATCAGTAGATGATTATGTTTAGATTGAAATGTCCTATGGCTTTGAGGAGTGTTGTAAAGTAGGGCATCAAAACTTGTTCCATACTATCTGCTCTATATTGTGTGTATATATCATCAACTAGTTATGCTTAGTCAAATTTCGATCTGATTTTTTAATAATGTTTTTTTTTATATATAAAATGTTTTTTTATATATAAAATGTTTTTTTATATTGAGTGCAGTTATCATAGACTCATTAAACAGCCCTCGTATATTATATAAAACTTAACATTTCATTTATTTCACTTCCAAGGTTTTTAGTTTATTAAATTATCATCCATAAAACATTGTTTTATTGGTGATTAAAAAACTGGACCCTATAAACTATTATTGATGACGTTAAACATCATGACATATGTATAATGATTATACGAACATATATTCGTAATATCAGTAGTAATATAGTTAACATTTTTTTTTTGATAAATATTAATTATCAATATTTTTTTTGGAAACTGTGCAGGGCAACAAAAAAACCAATAATAAAAGTTTATGAACTTTGTACAATCAATTTTTGAATATACGATGTTATAAAAATTATGTTCAATACTTATCAGTATAGCAATTATTAGTCAATAAATAATTTTCAAAGTAATTAAAATTTTTTAATATTTATTTTAAATAATAGAAATTTACAGAACTTTTAAATAATGTTGGAGACATTTCAGCAGATGTGTTAAATAATTGAGATGATACCTCCAGCTCAAAAAGTACCCGGATTTTGTAAATAAAACACACAAATTTAAATTTTATTTCAAATTTATTTTATCTCCTTCAAAATACTTTGAAAAAGTTTTTGAAAAAGGTCTATTACTTAAGGAGTAGTTAACAAACAACAAAATACTTTTTGAGCAGAAGGTAGCTTTATTAAGTGAAATCTTAGACAGCTATTTTTCAGATATAGTTCGGTTTGTGGAAGTCTAAGAAGGATTTTGAACAAAAGGTATCATGTCTCTCTTGAATGTTGAAAGGTAGAAGCGTATGCGCTAGAATACGCTTCTATCTTGATCCAGAGCAAACTTGTTGAAACACAAATGATGTGAGATATCTTGGCTTCTATAAGATTGTTTGAAAGTGTATGAATGTTGTTAATGGAAATTAAAAACTTAAATACATATAATTGTAGGTCCAAAATTTCTTAAATTCACAATCATTACAGTCGCTATAAAAATATTTACAGACCCATAAGTTTTTCTGCTATACAATGACGCCAAAAATCGTCAGAAAAATCGAAAGTCAAGCTCAAGATCAAGCTATATATCATGATTTTCTTGAATATAATATAAAGCTTAATGTTC